GAATCAAAATAGTTTGAAAAGTTTATATAGCGTATAGAAAATTCTAATATAAACATTCAATGAAAATGTCATATATCTAAAGTATTTTTTTTTAAGTTACACCAAAAACCAAAATAGATTTTGTCAAAAACCGATTTTGCCTAAAAATTCCCGTTTTTCCTTAATTTAATTTTTTGTTTTTCTCAGCACTTTTGAAATCTTCTTGAAATTTAAAATTTTTTTCTTTTTGAATACACCAACCAAATTCACTTTCCCACCGGAAATGATATTGAAGTTGAAAATCGAAACATTATTTCTACTATACTTGTCGTGTACACTGACACGAAAAAATTTTAGGTATATTTATACTTTACCGGACACCTTTTTTTTTGCAATTTTTGTAATTGAAATATATGTAGGTAAGTACGCTGAAAACGATGGTGAAGTCAGAATTTGGGGCTCGGACTTAGTTTCGAAGTTATCGGCGAATGAAGTTCGCTATTTTAAGTTCACTGTGCCTATCATGAAGATTGATGCTAGCAAAGCATCACTGCCCATACTACGACATAACTTACCCTGTGACCTACTTAAGGTGGTGTTGCACAGCAAGTCGAGGGATATTTTCGATTTGCGGAGCGGAGCGACGGCGCCGAGGAGCGTAGCGACGAGTGCCGCTAGCAAGGCATCACTGCCCATACACGCGAATAATCACAAGTCCCAGCGCATGCGCAGTAACGCCACAGATTATATGAAAACAAATTGTGCACTTCCTATGCACAACAAATTTTTTCAACTATTTTAATTTTTATTCACTATCAACTACAATTCTTATACATTATATAAGAATAAACATTTTTGGACTTCACTCGTCGTCGTCGTCGTTGCCGTCGTCGTCGTCGTCGTCACCGCCGCGGCTGTCATTAAATATAACATTTTCGCAACAAATATACATTTTTAATTTAACTTAGGTGGATTTGGATAGCACATCGAGGGATATTTTCGTTTTTAATTACCTGATAAAGTGGATAACCTCGCACCGTAATCTCCATAAAAGCACAAGTTTCAAAAACAAAAACATCAATCTTCATGATAGGCACAGTGAACTTAGAATAGCCAACTTCATTCGCCGATAACTTCGAAACTAAGTCCGAGCCCCAAATTCTGATTTCACCATAATTTTTTTCGTCAAAAATATGACAAAGTCCCCCAAAAAAAATCGCAAAAAAAAGGGTGTCCGGTAAAGTATAAAAGTTCCAAATTTTAAAAAACAAGCATCATAATAAAATTGCTACGCTCAGGATCTAAAATAAATACATTATTATCATGTTTTGAATGTATAGTAAATTTTAACCAAAGCATAGAACTTAAAACAACTTAATAACCTTTAATAACAACAACAGTATTAATAGTACTATCTGCTTAAAATTGTAATATATTAATTATAAATGAAAGATCAACCAACAAAAAAAAATATATTTTTATATCATACCAATGAAGTAACTTTATAAGACATTTAATAAGTTGAACCTTAAAAATAAAATAATAAGCGTTTAAAAATATTTGAATTTTTAAACAGTATTTAAACTTAAACGTTGCATTATTCTGTATGAACAATTTCTATTGTATATATATTTTTTAAATATGTAGAACTATTAAATTATTATGCGATGTCGCATCGCAATAAAATAGCACTTATGAGCTAAATATTTTAACACCAGAGTATATTAAATAATAAACAAAAATATGTAATAGGACTTAGAGTACTAAACATATCAAAAGACCGTATAGAATAGGTATTTTTAAGTGAAATGATATTTTTGAAACAGAAAATAAAATGTTTAAAATGTATGTAAGCGCTATATATTATAGTATACCAATTATATTTATAAATAATGATGTCCGGCAATCGCCTAAAATAATATAAAAATGGGCACATTGTTACTCACACTAACATCTTGATGTGCACGTTAATATTTCATGTAAATGGACCGTGTGACGTTTTATAAATCCAGCTAATTAATACTATGATATTATATTATAGACACAGTTGTTCAGCAATTATTTTTGAGACCAAACATTTTAATACTTAAAATTAACTGGTGAAGGTACTACATAGGTACCTACGTCATAAATGTAGTAGCATCAGGGCCGGACTGGGCCACTGTTCTACTATTCTACAGCACAGTAGGCCGCAATCTACGGTTATGTCAAAATAAAATGCATAAATATTAAAATCAATCTTATTATACTTACAGACCATTTACTAGTTGAACTTAGTAGGTACTAGGTAGCACCACATAATATATTAGTATTGTGTTCAATTTAAGATATGTAATTAAAATGTTTTATGTCAATGACACGAATCAGTGCAAATTTACTGAGTGTTCGGCAGTTGGAAGTATTATCACAAAAACACGGTGGAAATATTAAAAAATAAACACTGAGATGACAGCCCTCAGTGGTCTGATAGTGAACGTTAGGCGGTCTTAATTGACTATTTTAAAATTTAGAAAACTCACATTTTTTTTCATCCCTGTATCCTACTGAATTGAAACATAGGTTCTGAGGTCTATAAAAATGTTTTTAACCAAAGTTATGACCTTCGATCAATTTTTATTATATTCGTAATTTTTCTGAATTTGTAAGAAAGATATTTATTTTATTTTTCTGGTCTAACAATATTATTTTTTTTTTATACTTGATTTTTAATTTGGGCAATAGGTCTTGTAACGTAAATCAATACATAAAATATTTATATATATATATATATATATATATTTTTATTTTTTGAAGATATAATAATTGAAGATTTATTATAATTTGCTATATTATTTTCATTTAAAACTAATTAAAAGACTGTAAATAAAAATTACCCAACATTACACTATTCACAATACAAAAATATTCTAAAGGAAGTTCTCGAGTACCAAAAAACATAAACATTGTTTTCGGTCACTTGCGTTTTCAATGTATAAAAATATTATTGTCCAAATATTACCCTATTATTATTATAGATATTTTTGAAGTATTTGCTATAGTTACTGCTATAGTATTTATTCAAGTTTACCCTATTGGTATTATAATATTTTTGTTAAGAATTCTTATATGAAAAAATTTTTTTTTTAGGATCTGAATATGCACACTATTAGTTCTATCCATGATGTAAAAGCTATATATGCCTTAGAGAATTGTGTAATTAGTGTTTTTAATTTACTTCATTTGGTTAATTTACATTTGCCTACTTATTCTAATTTATATGCCACCATGGAATATGTACTAACCTTATCGGTATCTCAGGTTAATTGTGAACGAGTAATTAGCAAATTAAAAATTATCAAAAATCGTCTACGTGCTTCATTAGATGACCGCTTTGATGCTTTTTTATTAATGTCTGTAGAAAAAGATATATTGAATGATTTAGAGTTTGAAGATATTTTGGAGTTTTGGACATTATTAAAAATTCAAATTACCTATCATACTTTATCCAAATTATTATACACATAATTACATAAATATATAATTTATAAGATTTAATTGATTAATTTGTCATACTGGTACTTAGTGTAACTGATTTATACCCATATGTATATTGATATATTTTACATTTTCTTTCTAACCAACATAAAAAAGTTCCTAAATCATAATTCTTGTACTACTATACCATTGAAAAAAAAATTGTTGTTAGTTTAAGTTGGGCCGATAAATGTAGGAAAATGGGCCGGTTGTTTACAGAAAATAGTGGGCCAAAACCCTTCCAGTCCGGCCCTGAGTAGCATGATGGTACTGTTCATTTTAATTAATTAGATTAAGAAAATTAAAACCCTTAATAAATAAACAAAGCAAAATAGAGAATTGAACCAATTCTGTAGACAAGGAAAATCTAAATTACACATTGAAATCACAAATGTATATCTACTGGATTCATTAATAGTTAAGATAATAATTTCTTGTTTAACTTATGAAACATATACAATACACATTATACCCAATATACTAAAATGGTAAAAAAAATTTAAAAAAATTTAACTTTTATCTGTTTAATAACAATTCGATGTATTAAAATCAAAAACTTTGTCTACATTAATTAAATTTTACGTCAGTCGTGAGTTTTATGTTAACTTCACTTTTAGACTTCAATTTTCTGTCCATAAAATGCATACAACAAGCACTGGAATTGAAAATATATATATCATTTTAACATGATATTATATAATATATCATACATAGAAATTATAAATGAAATTCAAATAAAAATATTTTTATTTTTTATGAAATAGTACAAACCATTAAAAATGTATTATAGTACGAGCACGATGCTGATTTATAAGTAGGTAGATCATTTCGGGGACTAAAAATTATAGTATAGATACAAATGTTAAAAAACCATTGTGAATCGTTCAGCCTGTAATAGAATATATGTAGAGGGAAAGAGGCGTATACAAATCGAAAGTTTGAAATCAAACGCGTATTGAATCATATGGAATTAATATAGCAACCCCGGTGAATATGGGCAAGGAGAAATCTTCTCCCACCCCCCATAACCAAGGTCACTCGGAGAAAATATTTTTTTTTCAAAAACGTTTCTAATGTAAGTAAAAACCATAGAAGGCCTAAATTAGACATAACTCGCCATCGGCCTGTATCAGGATTGTTGCGAACGGTAAGTAATCGGTGGGTGGTGGTGCAGGATGGCGGAGGGCCGGGAGCTGTGTGACCCAGATAACATTTAGTTCCAGATGATACGCGAGGAGCAGACGGAAACGCTACGCGTCCCGGGTATATGAAACCAGTTAAGCCTGTTTTTGAAATTAAAAATCAGCGGGCAAAATCCAAATGGCATTCGTAGGGTACAACGACCAAACAGTCATTCTGTACGTGAACGCGATCGCGTGCGGTATTATTACTTTGTTCTAGTCGACAAAATATACATCGTAAAGACATATTATATACCTTGCTAATTGGTAAACAATATAGACATTATAAATAAAACAAAGGTGCGTTAGTGATAATAAATAGCAACGATGATTATGCGTATAGTGATAACGATCACAGTGGTGTGTCTCGCGATTTCGAGTTTATCTACGGCGACTGCGGAAGCGGAAGCTAGCCCACAACAGGCAGCTGAGGTATCGGAAACGAACGTACAGCAGCAAAACATCGTCTCGGACGACGAAGGGATTAAAATCAACGTGACTGCCATTGCCGCCAGGTTCATCAAAGATTACGTGACGCCAACATTATGTTCATACTCGCCAGGATTTTGTGCCAAGCACCAACTACGTAAGTCTGAACTATTTGTTTTGTACATAAAATATATACGTCAAATAAAATATGATTTATAGAGTTGATGATTCAATAAAAACCACATTTGAATATCTAATAATGTCATCAAAATTTGAATTTAAATCGACCTTAAAAACTGTAGGTATGTGATAACGCAAAAACTTTTTTTGTAAATAATTGTAAAAAACGTATGAAAAATCTTGTGTAAAATTAACAAGCTTTATGAATTCTTAACTACAAAATAATTTTTTTATTTTTATGATTTTGACGAATTTTGTGAAGATTTGAAATTTAAACGCTAATAAAAAAAATTTGACTACTTATATATTTTCTATATAACAATTTATGATAAACCTCGTCTTCAGGCTTTTTTTATTCAAAAGAACACAAAAGAAGCAATTTTTAAATTTTAAATTTATATATTATATATTATTATAAATCATATTTTTAAAATTATATCATGTCTAGAAGACACTAATATGAATATTTGATGACAATTTCATGTCTACAGTTATTCATTTTTGAATTACGACAACAATCGATTCTGTCAAAATCTTGCTGTACGTAAATATTTCTTAGCCCTAGTTATAACTTAAAATAATAACATGTAAAATGCGTTTTGAATGTAACATAAAGTTATGCTAATACAAAATACACTTAATTGATAAGGGACAAAAAAAACCGGTCCAATATATAAACGTTTATCCAACATTTATTATGTTCAAGTTAATTTTGAATAAGCAGATATACAAACTATACACATATACAATAACCCTGAAAATTGCTATCAATATCAATTATCAAGTAATGCAAATTCAATAAAAAGAAAAATACAGTTATAACTTATAGATTATATTATTAATTATAATTTTTTTTTATTCGTAAAAAAACATTTAGCTATATGTAGTTTAATACTTTTCTTGGTCAGTTACAACAGATAAAATAAAATAATTTTAATGATAGCTACATGGATATTTATATTATTAATGTTTGATACTAAAAGGTACAAACCTGTCTTCCACAGTTGATATGGTAATTTATGTTTTGGATAGACTTTACTTGTTTTCCTAGTTTACAGAGTAGCAATATCTTAATAACTGGTATCTTATATAGGTCTCGAAAAATATGAATCTCTACTTAAAAAAACCATAATATTATGCTCGCAGTAAACATAAATATCAATTTAAAACAAATAATATATGCAGCAAAAAAAATAAGAATATTGTAATTTTTTTAATAATTTTCAATACATAATAATTATTTTATTCCAAAGTAGATTAATTAGAAATTATTTATATACATTTTATAAAAACTCTCATTCTCTATATTTTAAGTAATAATTAAATCATATCATACATGATAAAATTAAAAATCAATTTTACAATTATTTAAGTCAAAGATGCAATAATCATCATTAATTTGGAATATAAAAGTGTTACATTTTGTCAGATTAAAAATAATAATTATCTATTCTCCATGAATTATATAATAAATATTATTCGTTGAATTTATACATATATTCATATTATATATTGGTCATAAAATGCTACACGAATAGAGGCTTTAATAAAAATAATAACACTATTAGGTCCCCATTAATACTTACTTACCAATAGCTCCAACTCTTAAAAATGGTATACTTTGGTATACTTGATTTATCTATTTGTGGTATTATAGAGATTAGAGGTTATCAGTATCTTAATAAAATTATATAGTTTTTAGTAGATTTCAAAACAGATAAAAGCAGGTACATCTGTTTTAAAAATAATAATTATAGATTTAGTGGTAGGTACTAGGTACATATTGCTTACTAGGTGTATTATAACGGAAGTTTAAACTGTTTAAAGTAATTACATTTATAGCATTATATATATATATAACAATATGTATATTGTATGCATTATTAACACAGATATGCCATAAATGTTTTTGAACATTTGTGTATACAATAGGAAATGTATAAGTATTATTCCACTTCTCAGCTTTAATAACCGTAATTATTATATTCATTTATACGTTTTAACAAAGATATACTTTGATGACTGAATCGCTTAGTTACAAAGAGTATGTAATTAAAATGGAAATAATTATTCATGACGGACATAATGTTTGATTGGATTCTTTAATTACTTATAACAAAATACATCTTGACTAGAAGAAGGTTCTAAAAATACGAATTTTCACAAAATGTATTTATTTATATAATTTACGATCATTTTCATTCACAACTGTCCCAAAAGAGTATTTATCATATTTTAAAATTTGATAGCATATAATATAGTAACAATCTACAAATGTATACAATCGTGAAATGATCTCCATCTATAAACCTAACTTCAATAAAATAAAAATAATTTAACGGATTACGGAGGTATATTAAGATATTAAAGTGTATTTACTAATCATCAACCTTAATGGTAAAAATATTAACAAGGACACCTTATAGGCTTTTATAAGTAATAGGTATACATAATAATACACAACATTAGTGCATTCAAATTTTGGTTTAAAACCACACAAAATATATTTTTGCTTAAGAATATCGAAAAAATACCAACCGCCCCACGCCATATATCACCATACCCAAGCTAGACAGTATAACTGAGTATAATAATATATTGTTTTCGATTTCAGAGAGCAGAGATATCAAAAGCTATTTGGCCACAGCCGGAACATTATTCGCGGGAGTGTTGGGCGTTATGTTGACTAAAATCACAGTGCTGATCGTATTATCGGTGATGTCCACAGTCATCGGAAAACTGTTGCTACTCTACGCATTATTCAAGACCGGCCCACACCACGACCACCACAGCTACAAGTCAGCCCACTACAACGCACAGCCGTTCGTCAAGTATACCAAGGACAAGTACTACATCAAGAACTCACCGTCAGTTCACAGTCACGATGTAGTCGTCGACTCACCTCCTGAGCACGAAGCCTCCCCTTACCATGCTCATTCACCATACGTCCTGGAATCTGCTGTCCATGACCATAAGTTAAAAGGAGTGTCTTACTACAAACGATAATGCACCACCACTAAGCTCAGTCCCTGGTCAGTTGTATAGCCATCCAATCAATTTCGTAGGCAAAAACACGACTTATTTTATATAATTTCTACACGGTTTTTACGATATACCTATATAAATATATTTTTGTAATAATGCGACGGCTCCCGTCGCCTTGCCCGGTTGAAGATGATCGAGGACGGAATCACAAATGTTGATCCCCTTAATATCCTTATTGCTTGCTTGACATCGATCATTGGATCTAAGACTTGAAAATCGTACCTATGCGTCGACGAAACGCCAAAGTTATTTACACGTTCTTCTTAATTTATTTTTAATTTGTTATAACACAAAATTCTGTATATATTATTACTGTATTATTATAATATTTAAATCGTCGTCAAAACAATGCAATTATTCTTTGTTTTAGCGTCGTATCGATAATTTATTACTCTTTATTATTATTATTTATTTATTTAATTGTATGATTGCTATTGATTTGTGAAAATTACAATAATCACAATGAAATTGTATTCATAATGTTTTCACAAAACTAGTCTTTATATAATATACAATCATATTACCTATTTATTATTTATTATTTTATACATAATTATTTTTAATTATTAACAATAATTAATATGCCTAATATAATATTGTACAGTTATATTAATGAAAAAATAAAATAGTGGTTATCAATTCATACAATTTAACTCAAGTCCTTGTTATATATTATGTTCTTTTTATTACTATCGTTCTATTTAAAAAAATATATATATATACATTATGATTATAATTGTACATATCATATATACATTATCATTATAATGTTTATACTTAATATACATTTAAAAAGCCAATCTGGATGATAAGTAGCAAATGGTAATAATACAAATTTTGGTCTGGTAAATAATAATATGCGATATCCACGAAATTTGATCCGACGTTAAAATATCCTTCACTAAAAATATCCAGTCCAAAAATGTCCGGTTGAATAAAATGAAAAGGTACAAATATTTAAACAAAAATGTCCAACAAAAACATAGTTAACTTAAACGCTTATACACGATACAAACTTAACAAACGAATCTAATCAGCTACCTATCATAACAATTTATCTAATATAGCAATATAAATTATTATTGTGACAGAGATAGTTCGTAATATAAAAAACTGGTTGTTTTTTGGCCTTACGTTTTACGCTTTAGCCCATACTCTATAGTATATAGAATTGAATAACACTTGTGTATTATTTTATATTTTATTTGTTTACTATATTAAAATATTGTATAATAATGTATGCCTCCACTTATAAAGCCAAATGGCATAAATATACGCTGATAAATAAAGGTTTTCTTTACGGTATCCATAAGAAATACGATATAGAGACAAAAGTCTATAAAATCTGTAATTATAAAAGTTTTCTCTTTCAATTCCCACAACCAAAATTTTCAAGTGAACCAACAAAATTGGATATTAATAGTTAATTTTCATCAAAAAATCAAAAAAATGTTTAAAACAATTTTTAATGCATTACTTTTAAATATTAGTAGATTAATTATTTTTTCTTTTAACTGGACATTTTTTTATCATTTTTATTAATAAGTAAATAAATATATAAGTTAATTAATTTTAAATTCTGAGCGGAACGATGAATGTATTGAATTTATATTTTATAATGATGTGTGTGTTTTTTTTTCATCTATTTATATCTATATACACTATGTATAGCGGAAAAGTGCTTCGATATTCGTTTCTGATATCAAAATTGGATCTATAGTATAGCTCCTGTACCACTAAACTTCACTTATCAAAAATGTAAATAATTATAGCCGATAAAACACTCATCCAAAATTCAATTGTATACATCAAAGTACTAAAAAAAAATTTTCGTTTGGAATGAAGAATAAAAAATTCATGTTTTCATATAAAAAATGATAAACAATTAAAAACGAAAACTATGAAATACATTAGGTAGGTAATAAATATATTTTTTAGTTAACTGTTGTTTTTTAATGACTAAATTATGTAAAAAAATAAATATTTTCAAACATTTTAATAGTTTTTTTCAAATAATGAATGTCGTACATTAAATGGATAATCCGGTATGAATACCGGATGATGGAAACCTATAGGTAAAGGTAGTTATTATTACGGTTATTCATTTATTTATTTATGCATATGACAATAACCGGTATTGCATTCACTTGACACATACACGAGACGACGGCGATGCGCTTACCAAACTGCAGTGTCGGTTACGGTTTACTCGTCCGTAACACTAAAAACAACATAATTGTAGATACGTCATAAACCATAATACGAGTATACGCGGACTGTGGCGCCGATCTCACCTATCGAATAGAGAAATGCCCCAGATAATTTTTATTGAGTGGGTGTACCGCGTTGGTGAGACATTAGGATTGAGCATTTTTGATTTCTATAACGTTTAAACGTTCTTAAGTGTTTAACTCAATATTATGTATATATTTTTATAGTATACATGGCAACATATTTTTGGGAAGGGTTAATTACATGTAGTCTAGAGAAATTCTTTCACCCCAGTGATTTAAAAATAGATTGACGCCACTATACACAGATAATATGCGTATTTTGTACGACCGTTAGAGGTAGGGCTGGATGGCGGCAAGGGCGTCTGCAGGGGGGGGGGGGCAAAAGGGGCAGTTGACCCCCCTTGACTTTTTCTGAGTTGATTATCATAATTATTATTGATGATTTTAATTTTCTAAAAAAAACTTTAAAATGCCATAGCAATTCTAAATAATGCACTAAATTATTTTTATTTTTAATATTAAAGATATCAATTTTAAAATAAATTCGGTATAAATTATAATATACATTTTAAACTTTTAAATGATTGTAAAAAAGTTTTACAGTCAGAACTTATCATTTGGACTACTCTGAAAATTAACTATTTTTTTTTTTCTATACCTATAGGTTTAGACTTTAGATCATATATTTATTATAAAATGCATGTAAAACATGTAGGTATGTTATAAAACGAGTATCGAGTAGATAGATTTGGAAAACAATGCAAAGTGTATCGTAATCCCAACCAAGTCCAAGTTTCAACTAAGTTTTTACTTTTGTAAATTGAATTGATTATAAGCTAGAAATATTTAATTTCATAAATTACCTAAAACTATAAAATCAAAGGTAACATTTTATTTATAAAAATAAATGTATTTGATTATTTAAAATTACATAACAATTAATTAAAATTAATGCTGTAAGATTAAGTTTTAACTAAATATCTAAGTGTAATACATAAATATTTTTACATTCCTTGTATACATGAAAGAAAACATGTCACAAATATACTTTATAACTAATAGGATAGTGAGACAAAAAATGTAAAAAGGAAAATATTTTGCCCTTCCCTTGACAAATTCCTTTGGACGCCCTTGGCTGACGGTACCTATTTCAAATTTTGATAACTGTATCTGGTATTTGTTTATTACCGATATCTGAGGTATTACCGGTTAAATGGTATTTACCAAAAATATCGTACCTCGGTAATTATCGAAAATATCATATCTCGGCAAATTCATTAGTGTTTCCAAGTTTCTAACCTAGGATAGGGCTATTATAATTTATAATATGTCATTACGATTATACAAATATATAAAAATTAAAATAATTAGAGTAGATATACGGTATTTCTGGTTACGATTCATTGTATACCGGTATACCAAAAATAATGCTCCGCACAAGACACAATAAATATTGAATGTAACCACGTTTCATGAATCACATACACATAGTAGCATTGATATTATATTAAATGCTTATAGCATTTTGATCTCCTCGATCATATTATAAAGAGTGATTTAAAGAAAGAATTAACTTGTATTCAGTATTGTACTGACTGTTGAGTGTAATTGAATGTAAACACATTTTTGCTATATTTAGTATTCATGTTACTATTTCCTAGAATTCTAAAATATTTGTATTATGTGATATATTCTAATCTCTATAATATTATATTCTGAACTTTTAAGTGTTATTAAAATAACTTATATTGTTAAATTTTTAACATTTTTTTGTTGAACGTTTCAACTATAAATACAGACAATTTTAAAAGGAATATAATATAAGAGTAAAATTAATAATAAACTAAAAAAAAGAAAGTAGATTTCATCATAAAATATTTAGTTTAATTAAGTTTAGTCAACTCTTTAGAGTAGAAGCAGCCTGTTAACTTCTTTCAAAAGTTACATATTTTATTACTTTTATCTTCAAACGTGATCATTGAAAAAAACATCCTACAAGTAAAATATACCCTATAATTGATAGTGATCTAGCTTCATTCTACAATTTATAATTTGAATTGAAATAGGTAACATAAAAATTAACTGAAACTCTAAATTAAATAATTACCTATCTGCATAATGTATACAGGGGCGGATCTTGGATATTTTGATAGGGGGGCACATATAAATTGTATAATGATTCTTTCATAATTAATAATACATACCCTTATTTTTAAACAAAATTGGCGATATATTTAATATAATGTTGATTACATAATATCACACACAAAAATAATAATTTATACAAGTTATTATACATATATGTAGTCATTAATAGGTAAAAATATTTTTATAGATTCTCATAGATACTTTATTGCCTCATAGGTCGAATTGAAGTCTTCGTTTATGTTTTTTAGCAAATAGTACTTCTTCTGGTTTTACTTGAATATCTTTATTTATATGAAACATTGCTAAGCTGTTAAGTCTTTCCTGGCCTATTGTCGATCGTAGGTAAGTTTTAATCCTTTTTAAAGAACTGAATGACCTTTCAGCACTTGCTGTTGTTATAGGTATGACACTGAGAATTGTTAAAAGACATTTAATGTTAGGAAACATAGATGCATATTTAAAAGCTTCCATTGAAGAATCAGCCTTTTCTGACTTATTTTTCCAAAATTGTTTCCATAAATTTAACTGACCGCGTAGTGCTTCAATACTATGAGGTAAATCTGCTTCATACGTCTGAGCCGCATTCAATATTTTATCGTCTGAAGTTTCACAGGTAAAATAATATTTAGGAATGATTAATTTCAAATTAGAACTAACTGAATCATTATTTTCATGAAAATGTGAATTTAGTTCTGACATAAGATAATCCAAATAAGGTAGAAAATAGTTAATGTGGTAGAATTCAGATAAATCAGTTGATTGGGGCTGAGCGTTTGCACGATGACATTGTGTTTTTGTTACTCTTGGAATCCTTATATCAACGTCCATTTTTACTGCAATTATTCTTGTTTCTTCAAAAATGTTTTTAAATTCCGTTTTTGAATTTTGTCTTATTGTTGTTAACACATTTTTAACATTGTTGATCATTTCTATTGTGTTAGTCAATATTAATACTCTGTAACTGAATTGAAAGTGGAAGTGTTATGGCTAAAAATTTCTTTAATATTTTTAATGAAATCAAAAATTCAAATTTACAAATAGCTGCAGATAGAGAATGTGCATTGCTTCCTGTATAGTTGCTAAGGCTCAATTCGTCTAATGTAACTATTATAGCTGGTATTATTTCCAAAAAATTTAAAATTCCATCATGCCTCTCGACCCAACGTGTTTCACACAGCTTTTTAGCTTTTACTGCTTTTTGGTGTGGAAAAAGTTCTGTAATTTTATCACTCAAAAATTGAGTTCTTAAAGCAGATTCCCTTAAGAAGTTATAAAATATATTTGTTATTATTCCGACTGTGTTGCGAATTGAAGGTACCGTGCTTGCTTTACTGAGCACTAAATTTAATCTGTGGTTGGCACAGTGAGTATAAAATGAAAGAGGCTGTAAACTTTCAATTCGAGATCGTACTCCTTTAAACGCACCATTCATATTCGCGGCACCATCATCTCCTTGTCCTCGAAGGAGAGCAAGATCGAAATTTTTTTCTTTTAATATTTGTATAATGGTGTCAGCTAAATATTCACCAGTTACATGTTCAATCTTTGTGAATCCAAGAAAATGTTCCCGTACTGAGCATGTGTTCGAATCAAAATACCGAACACAAAATGTGTAGTACGGCTAGTACGCAATTAAATATTGTGAGTACCTAATACCTGTAACACGTCATTGTCGCGGCGTCGCAGCGGTGTCGCGCGTTAAGATAACGCAAGTGTGCACCGGGCCTAATAGCTAATGGTTATAAATAGGCATCGATAAGACACTAAGCAGTAAGCTATAACTCCTTTTATCAGTTTAACTGTAAATAATGATTACCTATACTAGTAGGTAGTATACTATTATTTACTGTATTTTTCATTTATATGATATTCGTAGTAACATAAAAAAATTGTGGATATAAAATTGACAGGGGGGCGCATGCCCCTATGCCCCTCCCCTGAATCCGCCACTAAATGTATACATATGCATGCTAGGTGATAACAAAATAATTAATTAATCCATTAAAACCACTTACCTTCATTTGACACATCAATTCGTCTAAACTGTTTATCTACTTCCAACAAATATTTAAATTCATCATTGATAGACTCTTCAGCACACTCTTCATCCTTGATATTAATACCCTCTAATGGACCAAACTGAGTATGTTTTTGAACTGTTTTTCTTGCAAATACTCCAAACTCTTTAACAAGGAATAATTATAATTATATAATTAAATCAACACATCATATTATTCTTTAACAGACTCACTATTATTTACATTTTCTTGAGTTTTAATTTTCATGATTCTTAAATGTGTAGCAGGTAATGACGCTCTAGCTCTAGTTTGTACAGCTAGGTCGATGATACTACTCACTTGGTGTATTGGACAGTTTGATTCGTTTTGATATAGCTTATTACAATCTTCACACCCTAGAAAAATCATAAAAATGCTTGACATAAATACAATTGAAATCACAAGAAATAAAATGTATTATAAATTTAGAATTTATTCATAATCAAAAATTCAAATATATTTTCCTAATATTAACTGGTTAATAATAGTATATTGGATGATATGCAATAAAGCACCAATATAATATAAATACTATTTGCAAAAAATTGTTTTACTTTATATGATACACTCCTATGAATAAAATAGCATTGCACTCATCAATTAAATTTTAAAATTTATTATGTAAAAACAAAATGTTTTTATCAAGAACTATTACAATCAATGTGTTATTTATATTACATGTTGCATCCTAATTACAAGTATTTGAATGTTTTCCATCAGTGTGAACAAAAACCAGTTTGTTGATAGAAAAAACACCAGTAAATTTAACAATGTTTCAACATTGATTGTTCTATACATTTAACTTTTAAATTTTAATGTAATGTTCAATATTAATATAATATTAAAACCAGCACATTTAACTGCAGGCTGTAGTTTACAGCTAAAAAGATAGAAAATCAATAATACAGTCTAGCTAAATAAAAACAGAGTAGCAGAACTCAAAATTATTTAATTGCAACCTTATAATATAAACCTTTGACATCCCAGTTCTGGAAAAGTACCTAATGCGCTAATATTGGATAACACTTAATAGAGTACACTGTTCTGGGAAATGTATGTATTAATAGAAAATTAGAGACCAGCCTACAATTATGCCCACATCACAGTCCACTTCCAACGTACCTGTTCTAAATGCCTGTCCTGCCTGTTCCTTCAGAGAGCCCACAGAAGAACCATGTCAGTGCCCCCCCCCCCCCCCCAGTACTCGATTCAAAATTATAAAAAAAAAGAACACCATGAGTCACTGACAATTCTGTCAAATGGATAATGATACTTGAGATCCGTTGTGGAAAAATTGAATTATTATCATTACTACAAATAAGTTACCTTTATAATATATAACCTTAATTTATAAAATTTCAATTAATTAATTTAATTAACAATTATCTTTTCTAAATTATTTATTTGTTGTTTGTACATAGTCTGTAACACTAGCTTCAATACCTACAATAGTAATAATATAATATCATGTTATTTTGTTAATGCTTACAATATTCTATTAGAGCTGGTGGTTTTGGATTAATTCTACTGATAAAATTAATACTTATATCTTCATCAATACATTGTGGTTGTCTAACAAATTCTTCTGCTATCTTTTCAATTGTTTCTTTTGACATTCTTTGAAAACCTTAATAAAAAAAATAAAAAGATTATTTTTTAATTTAGGATTTGTTAAATTGTTTAATTAAGACATAAAGTTATTTAAATCTTATAAGTAAATCAATCTAAATATCTGTTATATAAATACCTGAACTATGTTGATGATGATCAACATCAAGTGAAACACTTTCAGATCCTACATCAAGTCTTCCTTTTAACTGACTACTGTTAAGTGGAATTTGTGATTCATCAACAACTGCTATATCACAAGTGTCTATATCATCCACTAATTCTTCATGATTGACTAGTAACTCTACATTATGATGTGATTTTGGAGAAGATAATAAACTTAAATCATCTATCGACACTATTTTCTGGGCAATATGATTATTTTGAACAGTTCTTGACTGTGGTGCTGTATAAAATTCATTTTCATCACTATTTAACACATCATTTTCTTTCAAGGTTACTTCAATATAGCTACCACCATTTTCGGAAAAGATAAAACGATTGTTCCCAGTCTCTAAAATCATATTTTGATTACTTCCCAGATTATTCACAAAATTATCAGTTTGTTTGGGAATAAATGATAACTGATCAATTTGTACTAAGGAATTGTCATGTGATAAATTATCCATGACTGAATGTCTATTAGACACTTGAGACATATTATTTGTTTTAATATGATATAAATCGTTTTGAAAATACTGATCTGGTATTGATACCATAGTCTCCACTTCTGACATGCTGTTGTATTCTGGTAACATTACAGTTTGTGAGTGCTTTGTCATTCCAAAATCTGTAGCTTGGTTATCTAAAATAATATTATACAATAAATTTTTATTAAATAAGTATATATTTTAAGTTACCAAGAACTGTCATGGAATGCATATCATTGTTGGTTAATACATCAAATGGACGGCCGTTGGTATCTGTTAATACAATATTATCATCTGCGAAGGGATCTTTAATGAAGTCAATATTTTTAAACTTCATACCACCAATCTAAAACAAAATATTAAAATAGGTTCTCAAAAAACAATTTAATAATCATTAGTCATTACATAATATAATAATCACATTTTATCATTTTTTTTAAGTAAAAAAGTTATGTTACCACAAAATGACCCGTGTTGTGTTTCATTCCTGAAGGCCCTGGTCTATTTATATCATCATCTTGATCAAAATCATCAGGACACCAATCAGTACTTGAACCTTGTTTTAAATCCATTATTGAACAATACTGAAAAAGAATGAACATTTTGTTTATTATTAATTTATATTTACAAAATTGTAAAATCGCCAACTTAAAAGGGTTCATGAAATAGTTCAGCCAAGTTCTAGATATTGCTTGTCCTCCTTACAATTATTATCCTGTTGTCACGTATCTTAGTTTGGTTACTTTAGCTCAGTGCAGACGCTATTTTGGTAAAAAAATTTTAAAAGACCTACTGACTGGTGTTATTGATTCTCCAACCTTACTTTCCCTAGTTGCATTTAAAGTTCCCCAAAGATCTTCTAGCTGTACTCCTACATTCCACTTACCTTTCGCCTCCACCAACTATACGAGTAATGAATGCAAATGATGTTGCATGCTAACAAGGACCCCACATGTATTTTTTTTTAATTTTTAATTGTTACACTTAATTAAACAAAAACCTATGTATTTACATATATTTTCTATATTATATTAATTCTATTGCTTTACCTTACCTTGTATATCAATCTACCTAATTGTACAAAGGGCTCAGCCCCTATATTTTATAATAAATAAATAAAACCATATATTTTTTAAATTATCAAATTGAAAATGAATGTCTTAAGATTTTATACAATTTGTAAATTATCATGGTACCAAATACAAATTTCTATTGGGGTAAATAACCAAGTAGACTGTGTGTCGTATCTAAAGAGTATACAAATATTTAAAATTATTTTTACCTTAGACATAACTAAGGTAACCTAACCTTAAGACATCTTAACACCACTATTTTGAAGTATAAATTATTAAAATTTAAATCTCTATAAACACATTATTACCTACTAGCCAAGCATAAATATACATTGTTTAAAATAATAACAATAATAATCAGCGGATTATCGTAATCAACTACCTATTTATATTTAACAGAAAAATATCATTGATCAATTCTGTTTGACTTATTTTATTTTCAAAAAATAAACTGAAAGTATAATTTAATAAAATTATAAGAATAATTTTAAAAAACTCATATCGGGATTTACCTATAATTTGACAAATAAAATTCATAAATTGAATATAATATTAAATAAACAAAATAAACGTTGTATCAAAATATACATTACCGACAATACTATAGGTAGGTATATGAAAACATATTATTACATGTTAGCTACTATGTTTCATAAAATAACCTAGCTACACAAAACAAATTTGGTTCAATTAAAAAGTAAAAAGTTATTATAATAGAGTTAGGTATCAGTGACAAGTTTATTTTTAAATACTAGCAAGTCATAACTTTTTAAGGTTTGGATGCATAATTTAAAATTATCAATTACATTAATAAACGGTTTATGACTGAAGTTAAATATTATTGTAAATATTCACTTACTTTTGTGTTATATCTGTAGGTAAGGTTACAACAAAGTTTATCCGACTTAAAACGAACGACAATACAATACTGTTAACATTTTCATTGTTCACGACATTTACACATTTTCAAAGTGTTACGAGTAAAACAGTATTACGACATTTTAGTGATCAAGTAAAAAATCAAACGCAAAAGGCTCATGATTTACGAACATAATTTTAACGACCAAATTTCAGCACTATCGTTTTGGGTTTTGTTGAAAAAAATATTATGATAAAGCTATTCAGCTGATAACGTTTTATCTGCCAGCTGTGCAATCGTCATATTTCTTAGTTAATTTTTCCCGCTATTCGACTTTCGAAATTCGAAGCACCTTAGGCGCACATAGGGGTTGCTAGGGGGTGTAACATCCCCAGGCTCCAAATTAGCAATCAGAGAAGAGAAGAGAACATTGACTGTGCAACGTTGTTTTTAATTTTTTAATATCACAAATACGAAAAAAGTTCTTGTTGTTTAAAAATTAATTATTTTTGAGTTTTTCAAACTTGAATAACTGCACAGTAAATGTTCTCCTCTTTATAGTGTGGAAATTTGGTTGCTTAGCTCGGACTAGTTGGACCAGTGGCGAAAATAAGGGGTGGGCCTAGTGGACTGCAGCCCCCCTCCCCCTCCCCCGAAATTACCTATTGAAAAATAACAAATACGAATATATTTATTGAAACTGTTAAATATATGGTAGACAGTTGCCTACTTAGTAATAGATCACTTGCTAGTTTCTATCTACTATAGCCCACCCCAAAAAGTATTTCTATAAATACGCCACTGAGTTGGACTATAGTCTGAGTAGTTCTCAGTGTTCTTACCCCAAGCAAAACAGTTTTTGCTATGTCTTACACTTGTAAGACGGAGACAACACAAGTGGATGTAGCGTCCTCTTAACAATCATACAGACGATTTGATTCATTGCTATTGACATGTATAACAATTTAAAATCATCGCAATGTAGTTTACTATAATATAAGAGTGTGTGGGGGACAACAACAGAAGTATATTCAAATATATTTAAAGTTTATTAAACATGTTTTGTCGTTATGGAAGTAGCAGTTTTCGAAATACCGGTTCTTAGCATTCTACGACTATTTTTTAATTTAATTTTGGTGGCCTATTACCAAGTAAAATAATTTTTACATTTCACAATTGCATAGGTATACGCATAGAATAAATGTATTAATTAATTTAGTAATAGCACAGTAATGCTGTATAATATAATATTAATTTATTTATATTAGGTGTTATTAAACATTTTATTAGATATTGTGGAGATAACGAATGCAAATAAACACTAATAACACTGTTTAATCTATGTTAATTTGTAAGCTAATAATGCCTAATGTATTTTAATATATTTCCTAACAGTGGCTAAATATAGTCAATTTAATTAAGTAGGTAACTTACCTTTCTTCGTTTAATCCAACTAACTTCAATAGTTCCATGGAATCCAGTTTGGGCGTAAATAACTTCAAGTAAAAGGTAATTTTTTATGCATTTAAATCTTAAAATCACAGAATAAATTTAATTATTCTATGTAACTGGTAAGATTTGTATTCACGGCCTCGTGGATAGTCAATAAAGACGTACCACTGTCGTCGATCCGTTTTTCCCGGCCGGGGATTACTAACTGTAGTAATGGCAAAACAGTGAACATAAAGCCATAAAAGTAACGGTGTCGTAAGCGATGTACGATGTACCATAATAGTTGCAAATTTGCAATGTACATAATATTGAATAGCTTACAGGTGTCGTAAGCTATGTACTGAAAAAAATAAGTACAAAAAGTTTGTACAAATAAAATGATTTAAGTAAACTTCAATTAATATTAATTTATGTATACATATGTTACATAATAGTATATTTTTAAAATAAAATAATAATTTATAAAAATATAGTGTCTGTCGAAATGTTCCCTTAAAAATGTACTTATTTAAAAATAAGGTTGTTAAATAAAAAATATTATAATTTATTACTAATACTATATTAAAATTCCTCTCAAAATATTGCCATCATGGCATTTCAAAAAAAACATCGAAAATTAAATCCTTTGATGGATGCATATTATAGACTTGTATGGAACATTTTTGTTTTGAAATATTATGCAATACAAATTCAATGTGCTGGGTATGGGTTCCAGTTTGTGGGTCTATAAACAAATCACTGTGATTTTATCTATAGGCTATAGCCTATAGCTATATCCAATTTGGTTCACATCTTAGTATAGGTACTTACTATAAATCAGGTATCACTACACGAATAGAAGTGATCTATAGTTCTACTTCTCTCTTAATTTTAGGAAAAGGGTTTTTGCATTTAATTTGACACTTTTGGAACTCTTTCCGTCCTTCACGATCAAAAATAATGATCACAGGTTAGGAGAAAACATCGTCGTAGACATTAGCGTACGCAGGATTTCAGTTCGGTTAGGGTTTTATCTGAGTAAATAATTTGCATTATTTTTTCTTGGCAGTTTTTACGTACCAAATCACAGTGAGTCTCAGATTTAGTCTACATTTACAGTGTATTTAGCGTGCTCATCTATAGAGCAGGGCTTGAAACCGAAAAAAATTTTTCCGGTTTCGGTTTCGGTTTCGGATACCGGTTTTGATTTTTTCCGATTTCGGTTTCGGTTTCGGATACCGGTATCAATTTTTTCCGATTTCGGTTTCGGTTTTGGATACCGGTATCGATTTTTTCCGATTTCGGTTTCGGTTTCGGATACCGGTATTGACTTTTTTCGATTTCGGTTTCGGTTTCGGATACCGGTATTGACTTTTTTCGATTTCGGTTTCGGTTTCGGATACCGGTATCGATTTTTTCCGATTTCGGTTTCGGATACCGGTATTCATTTTTTTCGTTTCGATTTCGGTTTTTAACGGTTTTAACCGGTATTCAAAATCAGTATCGAATATCGGTTTTAATCCCTGTATTTATAATAATTTATAATGGCATAAAATACTGGCGTAGGAACCTACTTGCCAATCGCCAAACATTGCGTGGAGTACGATTTAGCGTCTGGTTGCCTGACAAGTACTATAGTATTTGCAATCAATGATAATATTTACACTGGAATGAATACGTAATTATGACGTATTTAGTTATAGCCTCTCCACTTCATAACACATTTTCCAAATGTTTTGCTACCTAATTTTTTAAGATTTTGTGTAACTTCATCGTTTATAAGTTGAAACTATTTTCTCAATGAGGGGCTAACTTCATGTGTGTCCCACCCACCACATTAATCAAATTGATCACAGCTTGATTATATTATACCAATCTAGGTTAGGTATATTAATCCAATAGAGTATGGTTGGTGGTCGGTTGGTAGGGAGCACATTTTTCAGTCGACGGCTTTTAGGGAAACCCAGACAATAT